GGAGGTGTTCTCTAGCTCTTTGCCCGGGTCTTGGGCCATCTTCTTGTAGAAATTTTGAATCTCACATATGGAGCTCATATTTCTTCACACAGTGGGGAGTTTCTTCTTGATTTCTAAGCAGAAAGAAACATAGTAACTTCATGAGGAAGTACGTAGTGCACACCTTCCTAGTCAAATGATAAAAGTTAATAGAACTAATATTGGTACAGGCCAACGTGATGTACCTCCTGATAGGAGGCACTGAAGAGAACACAACATTGCCTCTGTGGTTCTCTTGCCAAAAGTGCATAACTGGAATCTGATTTTGAAGAGATTCCAGACAAAGCTGAAGTGGGGAACATTCTGCAGAATGATTGGCCCATGTGCTTCAAACTTCTAACGGTTGCCAAAGTCCAAGAAAGCCTGAGAAACTGTTTCAGATTCAAGGAAACTGAGGAGACAGGATAACTAAATGCGAGGCATGATCCTGGATTAGATCCTGGGCCACAGGAAAGAAACAGTTAGAGGTGACAGTATTTGATAAATTGAAAAAAATGTGAATATGGACAGTGGATTAGATAAACATTGTGTCCATGCTAAATTCTAATTTTGGTCATCGTACTATAGTGGGGGTACACGAGAATGTCTAGGGGGTCAGGGGACTTTACGGCTTCAACTTCGTCAAGATAAAGAGTCAGTCTTGTTTCTTCTTGATTCTAGATTTTACCTTCGCATATGGCTCTTTCCCTCCACCTACATCTCAGAGTCTCCCCCCCAGGAAACTCCCCATTCTTCTTTCAGCTTTTTTCTGTATTCCACAGCCCCCAGTGACAGATATGCTCCTCCCATCGCCAACACTGGCTCCCACAGCCTGGGTGTATTAAACACAGCACGTGTTCCATGTGTGGCTTCTACATAGGATCCTGAAAAATGAACGTTTTGTGTGGCCCTGTTTGTGAACGTTACAGTAGGGGCATGGTGGGTATGTCAGGGGGCCTGTTCCCAGGTTCTCTGTTCCTCACAGAGGACTAGGCCTTGCTGAGTTACTCAGAATCACTGCATTTTTCTGTTCAACCTCATTCTAGTTATTTTGGCTTTACGATAAAGAAAAGTTAATTACTTGCATATTTGATTAACTGAAAAAAAAATCCAGACTGTATATTTTGAGTCTTGATCAATTAGGACTGCTTGCCCAGAGGAACCAAATTAATGGTTTTCACATTCAAGCTGCGTAGAAGAAATTCTGGCTGCCTTTCTCGTTGTACCTTCACAAAGGCCAGAGTTTGTAAAAACAATAGTGATAGTAATAGTAACTCTGGTGCTTGGTAATCAACAAATCTTTTCCAGGCTTGGCCTTAGGAGAACTTTGTACCATGAGGTAAGGAGGGGCCAGCTTCGTGTACAGATGAGGAAATGGCCTGCTGCTTTGCTTCTTGCATGGGTCCTATATGTTTGTAGTTTGGGCACAGGTATGAACAATTTGCTCAGACCCTTGTTTAAGGCTCTCTAAAGGACAAAGAAGAGTCTTCGGAATTTAATCTTTCTGTAAAAGAAAACCATCTGTCTTGCCCAGTTAACTCTTCTCTTGCCTTGGTCCTTCTCTGTTTTCCTTTTATTTCTATTTAGAAGGCAAATTACAAACAAGGACAAGATAGCATGGTATGTAGAGTAGTTCAGGCTCCAGTACAAGCCTCGCTTGAATCTACTTCTGTCACCTACAAATATGAAGTCAGGCTCTTCCCTTAGTTTCTTGAGCCTCAGTTTGCTCACCTGTAATGTCAACCTCAAAGTCAAGTTGAGAGGATTGAAGAAATGACGTGCATCATGCAGCAGGCTTGAAGCTTCTCACAGAGCAGATGTACCCAGAGGTAGCAGGCTTTCTCTCCCCTCTTGGGAGACTCTGATCTGGAAACAGGGTTGGCACCAGGCTCTGGTGGTAATGGTGACATTACAGCATATTTCAGGCCAGTGTGCAAGCACTCTGCTCAGCTGTGCTGGGTGGAGTGGGTGTGCTGTGGTACAAATGAGTGCCTGGGGAGAGACAGGGTGGGCTGTTCTCTAAACTGTCAAGCCTGACCATGCTCTGCCTCCTGGAAACTCACCTCTCATTTTGTGCTTGGATTCATGCCCTCCAAATGGAGGAAAATCATCTCTCTCATCATACCACTGTAAAAAATTGTTGAAAAACAGCCGTTTTAAAAAAATGTTTGAGACTAAAAAAGTTAAGTAATGACTATCAAAGCATTAGTCATAAATATCAATGAGGAGGTCTGTTTTTAGTTAGCAAGATCCCTAAGTAGGAGGGATTAAACAGCTCTCACAAAAGTGTGCATTATATAATTTTGTTACAAGCTGAAAGCCAGCATCTCTGCATCCGGCCCCCGCACCAACATCTGAAATACCTTTGCCCTTAATCCCCATCATCCAAGAATAAACACTCTTAATGAAAGTCTTAAGAGGAGGTAAAAAGGAATTTGTTTTTCCAGTTGATTTTAACCATCTTTTCCAAAGTAGGAGGCTGTCTCTGGTGTTACCTTCCTTGTAATGCTTCAGTCAAATATGGCCACTGCCACTACTTCTAGCAAGTTCCCTGGGTGCAGAGAATCAGAACATGGCACCTAGCATTACAAACAGGCACCAGAATTTTAGGGTTCCAGCTAACTCATTTTTCTTCAGTCTTTGGGTGAGCTCACATTTTACACTTTACCAAAGAGAGACATACCCTTGAACTCTGCAGTCTGTCCCACAGTGTGGAGAGCTTAAAAGAGATCAAACACTGTTATTTTGAAACACTGGAGCAATATTTCCAAGACTGCCTCAGAAAGTTACTTGGAATTAACATAGTTACTTACTATATGATGAAAAAGCCATGCATATATGAATGCTCTTTTAGCTAGAGGAGTGTTTGCTGAGAATAGTGCAAACAGAACTTGAGAGCCAGATCATAAGTGGGAGCATAATAACAGCCCTGAAGATGGGTAGTGGTGTTCCCTGGCAGTTAGTATTGCTGAATCCTGAAGAGTTCTGCTCATGGTTTTACCAGGAGCTTGCAACATCATGTAGAAAATATATTTACAAATATAATTAAGTAAATACAAAACTGCATGGAAAATTTGGCAGGGAATTATATATTTTTCTGATTATGTAAGTAATATACATGCTTAGTGGAAAATATGAAAAATAAAAATATGGCATAGAGAAGAAAATAAAAATCACCCAAATTGCCCAATTCTACCATGAAAGACAACCATTTTCTGAGACATACATACACACACACACACATATATATATGATTTTTTCTTTTGCTACAACATTGCATTCACGCACTATACATGTTTGTCTTCTGCTTTTTCACTTAAATTAATTATATTTTTATGTTTTGATATCTGAGTGGCTGAATCCCTAGGACACCCATTGCAAACATAATATTTCTTTGAAATCTAGCATTTTTTCTAAAACACATATTTGAATTTTGCAGTCTACTCTAAAACTACCTATATTTGTTTTAACATAAAATATGCAGTATATAAATATGAAATGTAAAATTTATTATAGGCAAATAAACATAATATACATAATATAAAATGTAATATATTTTATAAAATATAAAATATATAATATATAAAAGATATAAAACTAAAATATGCTCTGCTCTGTGTAAATGAAATCTGCTGTTTCCCTGTACTCTTTGACACTTCAGGGTATGCCATCTAAACACTTCTACTATAAAAAAAGCTAAAAATAATAAATAAATAAATAAATAAATAAATAAATAAATAAATAATAAACACACTTACCACACACCTAAGAATTTTTTTTTTGTTTTTGCTTAATTTTAGATAGCATCTTTAAAATACTCTATGTCACTGGAAAAAACTCATTGGTAATTTTTATATGTAACCCCGTCTACCCTGCCAACACATACACATGGGAGAACTAATATCCATTTAGGGATCCCTTGGCCATAATTTCAAGGCTTGGCAGAAATGGATTTCCTCAAGAAAAATGAATCTCCAGGCCAACTCTCGAGTTGGTCTGAGGTGTCCCTTCACTACACATAAATTTATCAATTTACAGGATAAAAAATAAAATCAATGGGTCACAACTTTTTACTTAAAATATTTTCTCCACTAAATGTCATGCAGTTTGGGCTTCTTTGGTTGCCTGCTGGCCTATGGGGAAATGAATCACCAAAATCACCATGGCAAAAGATGAGCCATGAATGTGTCACTCGTGCTTGACACGGCAACTTGCTGTCCGCATATTCTTCAGGTTGTTACATTATATTGCACATGATAAAGTTACATTCTCACCAGACACAGAGGCATGGCGCTTCGAAGATGGAATTAAATGTGTCAATATTTTATGACTCATTTCACAGAATGTCGTAACTCCCCATTGTGCCACTTGATCTAGACTGATAGTCACCATTGTAGGGACCACCCATATATTTGGGCGACTGAAAAACGTATGGAGAAACAACTCCCTACCCAATGACTTACAAATGAGCTCAGCCCAGCTGAGGAGCTATTGGAGGAGATGTCCCCACCATCCAACTCACCCAAGCTTAACATTCCACAGTTAGATCTTCATACCTTTGGCTTTAGACTGCTGAGGTTGTATTGCTTAAAAAATGCCGATGTCACAGAGGTAAAGCCATACACTTACATCAGTCATTTGCCACAGTGTTTCTCAAGAAGGGATGATCGAATTGCCTGTACCAGTAACCTAGAGGAGGGGAGGGGAGGGGGAGAAGGGAGGATAGTTAATTAGAGATTTCTAAGCCCACCCCCAGAGATTCTGATTCTGTAGCTCTGTGGAGGGCTCTTGGAATCTGAACTCTAGCCCCCCAGGAGATATCTCTGAACATTAGTATTTGAAAACCAATAATTATGACTGCAACTATGAATCTTTTCTGAGAGCAGAGGAGATACTTAATGATCTCTTGGGGTGATTCAGTGACCGCCACTAAGGGACAAAGGGGAGTCTGGACAGGGCACTGAATAAGCCCGATTTTTTGTGGAGTGGCCATCTATTAAGTGCTTTCTCAGAGAGGGTATAATAATTGTGTACTTTGAATAAATGCACTGTGAAAAGACAAAAACAAATATTTGGGTCTTTGTGTCCCCTTCTGTTCATCTAGGAAGGGGTTTACATGCCATAAATTAAGCCTTCGCACCCATACCAAGTTCCATCCTTCACTCAGGCATGAGCCCCAACAGAGTGGCCCAGAACCAGCTGTTTTTAAGCCGATTTTGAGGGCGCTGCCCCTGACCTCACCTCCCAGGCCAGAGACCGATGCTGGGAGGAGCTCATTGCTTCCTACGTTAATTGCGTGGGGCTGCCATAACAAAATACCTACAAACTAGGTGACTTGATAACAAGTTTATCATCTTACAGTTCTGGAAGTTTGTTGGAGATGAAGGGTGTCTGCCGGGTTGGTTCCTTCAGAGGGCCCTGAGGAACGATCTGTTCCAGGCCTCTCCCCCAGCTTCTGGTGGTCTTGGGCATTCCTTGGCTTGATGGTCATCTTCTCCCCGGGTCTTCACACTGTCTTCCCTCTGCTTGTCCCTGTCTCTGTGTCCAAATTTCCCATTTATAAGGGACATCAGTCCTGTTGGTTTAGGGCCACCCTAAAGACTTCGTCTTAACCTGATCAACTGACACCAAATGACTCTACATCGAAATAAGTTCACATTCACAGGTACTGGGGACTTCAACATCTTTTGGCGGCACAATTCAGCCTATAACCCTTTTCTCCCCTGGGTCTGTCTCAGCCATGCTTCTCTGTGCCCTTGATGGCTGACAACAGCACCTGGTCCTGCACCTGTTTCTCTACTTTGTTCTGAGCAGCTGAGCAAACACCTCTCATCGGTACCCCCACAGCCCCACGAAGGATCCCGGTAACTCCTCAGTGACTTATGGAGGCCCAGTAAAGGCAGCTAATCACAGCAGGGACACAAAGAAATTAGAGCTCAACCCAGATGTTTGCAACCAGCTAGGAAATTGACAAGTGAGCCCAGATGGTCTTTCAGAGTCTAATTTCACCAGATTTCTCTGTAGTGTGACTTTTATTAAATTATTATTATTATTATCATTATTATTATTGTGTCTGATCTTAGAAACAAATTATACTCATACCTCTGGAGGGATATTTAGATCTTGCCTCCAGGTCTTGCCCAATAAAAGGTTAAAATTCAAATACCCAATGATCAAAGAGTTCACTTTCCCCGTAGAACCATCTTTACCTAAAATGATAATGGTGACAGCAGCAATCATCCTTAAGATGCCATGATTTAATTTTTTTAAAAAATTGTTTATACCAAAAAAAAAAGGAATTATCTACTTATCACCTCAGAGGAAACCAAAAGGAATATGATTCTTAGTCCTCACTGGGAGGTGAAGTTTCCCACTTATCATACAGTATCTGATCTACTTCCCATGAGTATTACTCTTCATTTCCAGGAGTACTGAGCATCCTTCCTTTGAAGTCTTTCCCAGCGGGACTAGTTGATGAAGCCATTGATTCCTTCAGCATCAGGTCAGTATTGGCACCATAATGGACCTCCTCTGGCACTGCAAAGCCACAGCTCAACTCCTGGTAGCTTGGGGAAGGATGGGGTGTTCTCACTGCTCCAGGGCATTGCTGGAACAGATTTGGCAGCAAGGCCTTAAAGCAAGACATTAAGGTTAGGATTCTAATATGAGACTATGTGCTTACTGTTGCCTAAATATTAGGAAACACTGCTCAGAATCAGTGGCATTAGATAGGTTCTCCAGGGCACACATTGAAATGTGATGGTCTCCACTCTGGATGAGCTCTCTTCACTTGAAACACTCTGGTTTACTGGAAAGACTCATTCCCAAGAAGTCACATTCATTGATTTCACCTGCCCAGTAATGTGAGGCTTCTTATCCAGACTCCTTGTGTGTGTGTGTGTGTGTGTGTGTGTGTGTGTGTGTACATGCCCGTGCACATGCATGTGTGCATCTGCACATACATTGATGGGAGGAAACAGCCCTGCATACAACCTGAATGTATCTGGAAACAAAACTTAGTTATTGTTCCTCCAGACCATCCAAGTCTTGGAAACAATCCAAACCTCAGGGAGAATTAGAAACTAAGCCTTGAGCCCCCTTGTGTGATGGCTCAGGGAGAGGTACCTGAGCTGAGCAGGCAGCCCAAAGGGACCAGGGTGTGAAGAGTCATTGTGTGTGCTGGTTCTACCCAATGACATGCTCAGAGTCAAGACAGGGAGGCAAAATATGTTCTAGGGGCACCTGGGTGGCGCAGTCAGTTAAGTTTCTGACTCTTGATTTCAGCTCAGGTCATGATCTCAGGGTCGTGGGATCAAGCCCCACATCAGGCTCTGCACTCACCATGGAGTCTGCTTGAGATTCTCTCTCCTTCACCCTTCATCCCTCGCCACCTGTGCTCATTCTCTCTCTCTGAAAAAATAAATAAAATAAAATTTAAATTAAAAATATATATATTCAGGATTTTTTCATGTGTCTGTTGGCCATTTATATGTCTTCTTTGGAGAAATGTCTGTTATGTCTTACTCAGCCATCAAAAAGAATGGGATCTTGCCATTTGCAGTGACGTGAATGGAACTAGGGGGTATTAGCTAGGTGAGATAAGTCAGGCAGAGAAAGACAAATACCATATGATTTTAGTCACATGTGGAATTTAAGAAACAAAACAGATGAACCTAGGGGAAGGGAAGGGAAAATAAAATAAGATGAAAACAGAGAGGGAGGCAAACTATAAGCAACTCTTAACTCTAGAAACAACTGAGGGTTGCTGGAGGGGAGGTGGGGGGGGATGGGGTAGCTGGGGGATGGGCATTAAGGAGGGCACGTGATGGAATGAGCACTGGGTGTTGTATGCAACTGATGAATCACTGAATTCTACCTCTAGAACTAATAATACAGTATATGTTACTTAAATTGAATTTAAATAAAAAATTTAAAAATATATATATGTTCTACAAATCTGGGTAACAAGTCTGGTGTCAGGAATGGGAACCTGCACTAAACAGCATCAGAAGCCCATGATGTTGGAGCATAAAGTTGAGTGATGGTAAAGCAAGAGGCACCTGGCAGTTGCCGTGAATGGGCCTTATACCTGGTTAGTTCAAGCTTTCCACTTGTCCTGCAGCAAAATGTCTAGCCCATGGCCACCAGCGGTTATGAATAGAGGCCATTCCTGCAGGATTTAGGGCCTGGGTGGGTCTGTGGATCTTGGAAAGTACTCCACCCTTGTATTTAGAGGTTCCAAGGTCAGTCCTGGCTCTCCTGCTCTCAGTCTGCCTAATCACATGACTGCTGATTTCTGCTTTCTTAATCTGAAACTTGAGAAAATAAAATCTCCCTCATGGGAGGTGAGTGGCTGGCACATGTGAAGCACATAATTCATTTTCTCTTAAGTGAATTTAACTTTTATTTGTTGAGGCTTGAGATGACCTAGAAAGATGTACCTTTAAAAAGCCAGGAAAAGGGGACACTGTGCATTTGTGCATGTCTTGACTGTTTCTTGACTTCCTAACATCCCGACAATTGCACATTTCATACTTATATACAATTTTCTGTTTGCACTGAAAATTAATAGTTGCTTATTCTTCTGTTTATGAAATAATATTAGAGGAAAACTGTGGGAAAATACAGAAATTTCTAAAGAAACATCTCCCAAATCACCTTGTAAAAATCACCATTTATGTTGAGATGTATTTCCTTTCAATGTACATTTAATTTATTAATTATTGATAAATTAATCAATTGATTGATTTAATAACTTCCCAAGGGTAGTTTCCTAGAGATATTAGTTTCAAGAGTGGTTTTAAGTCTTTGGGCTATAGTTAACTTTCTCTTTAGAAATATTGTGCCAATTTGTAGCCCTATGATCCCTGAGGGAGAGTTCAAGTTGTATCATGTTTTCCTTTGCATTAAATACATTATTTAAATCTTTGCTAATATGATAGGTAAAAATTGTAACATGGTTTTTCTTATTTACACTTCTTTGAGTTTTTAGGGAAGTTGAATATATGTGCATTTTGGTCATTGACACTTCTTTTCCTATATTATTTTTTCGTCTATCCTTCTTATTTTTCTATTCAAGTTTTAGTGCTTTTCTTAGTAAACACTAAGAATATAAGCTCTAGATACTATAACTGTGTTTGTGATATATGATACAAATACTTTGTGTGGTCATTTAAAAATTATATGATTATATTAGTTACCTATTGCTTCATAACGAATTACCCCAAAACATGGGGATGTAAAACAAGAAATATTTATTATTTCACAAGTTCTGTGGGTCAGAAATTCCAGAGCAGCTTGGCTGTTGGGTTCTAGTTTGGATCTCCGCAGAGCTTCAGTCAGGGTGCTGGCTGGCAGGACAGGCATCTGAAGGCTTGACAGGGGCTGGAGGCTCTGTTCCCAAGACGGTTCACCCACTCGGCTGTTGGCAGGAGGCCTCAGTTCACCACATAGACCTCTTCAGGCATAAGTTTTCTTGCGTGTCATCATGACACTCAAGGTGGCTTCACCCAGAATGAGGGATCCAAGGGTAAGTAAGAGGGAAGCCACATTGGTGTCTTTTATGAGTGATCATAAGGAAGTCACACAGTAACACTTTTGTAAATAAATTATCAGAATTGACTGAAAAGAAAATGTCAATAGATCTAGAACAATTAAAGAAATAAAATTGACTAGGACTAGTCTATATTGATTCTGTAAAACAACATTTTTTGAATATTTTCATAGAAAACTTTATTACTTCTATTTTGTACTAACTTTGCCCCTTAGTGGCAATTAGCCCACCATGATATCACTGATCCAGTTCCAATGAACGCAACCTGTAAAAATGGTTTATGAAATATAGATTAAGATCTGTCCTCCCTGTAAATATATTTTCAAGTAAAACGTGAATCTAACAGAAAAAAAAGGAAATAAATAAAATCGATAGTGAGATTGTCTCCACACGAAAAACGCTCATTATCCTGCAGTTCAACCTAAATCAACTTTTCAGGAAATAGATACTCCTATTCCACATCACATTTCCAGAAGAGTAATGGACAGAGCAAATTTGACAACAAACTCTATGACACCACAAAACCAAACCAAACCAAACAAAACACCTGGATAACAAAGCCAGACAAGCACAGTACATGGAAGGAAATTATAAGACCCATATCACTAATAGAAATAAGCAACATTACATATGAAAATCTAAATAAGATATTAGCAAACCAAATAGAACTTTTATATAAACACATCATAATGAAATGGAATTTATACAGGAATTTATTAATGGTTTAACCTCAGAAAATCTATTATCTGATTCACCACATTATCAGATTTAAGCGAGAAAAACACGATCATCTTAATATATGTACAAAATTAATTCAACAATCGAGTATTCGTTCATAAAAAATCTATTAATTAATATGAAAGGATAAAATCTAACAGAAATCTGGGGGATTTCTGTAATTACAATATCTGTAATAACAGATAACAATATCTGTTATTACAGATATTACATATATTGATCATAAGCAAATTGATCATAAGCAAATACGATACTTAATAGTGAAATGTTTTTTAAAGATTTTTTATTTATTTACTTGAGAGAGAGAATGAGATAGAGAGAGAGAGAGAGCGAGCATGAGAAGGGGGAGGGTCCGAGGGAGAAGCAGACTCACTGCTGAGCAGGGAGCCCGATGCGGGACTCGATCCTGGGACTCCGGGATCATGACCTGAGCCGAAGGCAGTCGCTTAACCAACTGAGCCACCCAGGCGCCCTTAATAGTGAAACTTTATAAGCGTTTCCTATAAAACCAGGAAGGGTGCTCACTCTTTTCTGTTCAATATCGCATGGAAGATTTTAGAGAAAACACATTTTAGCAACCTTGCCAGGGAGAAAAATAGTGCAAAAAAGTAAATTGCATTCCTTTACATAGGAAAGATTACATGAACTATTTAAAATATTTCGTTTAAATTTGTCAAAATATTCCTTTTACAAAACTATAAGATTCCCATAAATGTTTTTATTACATATATTTATAATTATACATATATATGTATTTGAGCATATTTTCACACAGTTGATACTAGTTATTCACAGTACTTACATTCTATGAGGTCACCATGAACACTGAATTAGTCCATCTTGAGCCACTGCTCCTAGAGAAATACAAGTTAGGTCCTTGTAAGCCTCTGGTCACGATGTTCTCATCGATAGATATATGCATAAACTTGTTTTGTGTGTGCTTCTGTTTAAAGATACATAAATTTATATTTATTTAATATATATTATTTCATTAACATTGATCTGGTGGGGGCACTTGGATGGCTCAGTCGGTTAAGCACCTGACTCTTGGTTTGTTTTTTCTTAATTTAATTTTATTATGTTATGTTAGTCACCATACAGTACATCATTAGTTTTTGATGCAGTGTTCCATGATTCATTGTTTGCGTATAACACCCAGTGCTCCATGCAGTACTTGGTTTTGACTCAGGTTGTGATCTCATGGGTCCTGAGATCCAGCCCACATCGGACTCTGCACTCAGCAAGAGTCTGCTTGGATATTCTCTCTCTCTGCCCCTTCATCCACTCATGCTCTCTCTCTCTCTCAAATAAATAAATCTTAAAAAAAAAAACCAAAACATTGAACTTGCGACCAACAGCACTGTAACTCTTATCTGAATGAAGTTTGTCTAACTCACATATACTCTTTACAAGGCACGTTACAGCCCTCTTGCATGTAGAAACACCAACCAGCCAGCATTTCAGCACCATGCTAGGGGTGGGAGGCATTTTAAACAGACACCTACAGAAAGTACAAAAATGTGGAAAATGTCACACTAAATAGGTTGCAAGAAGGACACTTGTTTACAGTGCAAACAGTGAAGCAAAGAGGCAGGGCATTGCCTCACTTAGCCTCCACAGAGATCAAAACTGGACATCTCGGGCGCCTGGGTGGCTCAGATGGTTGGGCGTCTGCCTTCGGCTCGGGTCATGATCCCGGGGTCCTGGGATCGAGTCCCGCATCGGGCTCCCTGTTCCTTGGGAGACTGCTTCTCCCTCTGCCTCTCTCTCTCTCTCTCTCTCTGTCTCTCATGAATAAATAAATAAAATATTAAAAAAAAACTGGACATCTCAGAATTTTCACTGATCTGTGCGTGCATGTCTGTAAATGACAGTGATGGCACCATGAATCTAGATTTGGGAGTTACAGATACATTTTAGAAGGTAGGCAAATTTACAAATATGGAATCTGTGAACAATGACGATCAATTCTGTATATATGCATATATATGTATGTATATAAATGTATGTATACAAACACACATTATATTTATAACATACACAGAAATAATACCTATATGTAATAAAAGACACTGAAGCACAGAGGTGCTTGTGGAAAAAGTAAACAAAACAAAACAAAACAAAAACCCACCAAGAGACGTACAGAGGAATTCAAGGCAGAGAGACATGTCATGCTCACAAATGAGAAGACTTCATTTCTCGAAGGTGAGAATTCCCTGTTGATCTCTGAATTTAATCTAATTTCAGACAAAATCCAGCCAGGAGTTTTTTGTGGAAAATGACAAGCTGATCTCTATGTTTCTCTGGAAGAGTTTGGGAATTATCAAGACAGTTAGAGCGAAAGAACAGAGGTCAAAAGAAGAAGGGGAGTTGATATTCACTCCACCAGGTGTAAGAAAACACCTAAAATCAACTAAAAGCGGACAAATAGCTGATAAAACTTGGCAAATACTTATAGGTAAATCACAGATGAACAACTTGAATGACTGAATGACATAGGGAAATACTGTCTACCTTTCTAGATTGTTTAAAATGACAGCTTTATTGAACTTTATTCACCAAACCATCAAACGCACCCTTTTAAAACATATAGTTTATGGGTTTTGTTACATTCACAGGGTTGTGCAACCATTTGTTGCACTATTTAATTTTAGGATATTTTCATCTTTCTCCCTAAAAACTCTGTCCCCTTGGGGTGCCTGGGTGGCTCTGTCGTTAAGTGTCTGCCTTCAGCTCAGGTCATGATCCCAGCGTCCTGGGATCGAGCCCCGCATCGGGCTCCCTGCTCTGCGGGAAGCCTGCTTCTTCCTCTCCCACTCCCCCGGCTTGTGTTCCCTCTCTCGCTGTGTCTCTCTCTGTCAAATAAAAAAACAAAAACCAAAAACAAAACTCTGTCCCCACTAGCAGTCACCCCCCATTCCCCCCTGCCCTCACTTCCTAGGAAAACATGAATCTGCTTTTTGTTCCTATGAATTTGCCTATTCTGTACATTTCATATAAATGGAATCATACAGTACGTAGCTTTTTGTGATTGGCTTCTTCCACTTAGGGTCATGTTTTCAAAGTTCATCCATGCTGTGCCATATTATCAGTACTTCATTCATTTCTAAGCCTCAGTAATATTCCATTTCAAGGATAGACCACATTTTATGGATCCATTCATCTATTGATGACTTTTTGGCTATTATGAATAATACTGCTATGAACATTATGTACACATTTTTGGGTGAACATATATTTTGTTCCTCACGAGTATCTACCTAGAACTGAATTGCTGGGGGGTAATATGGTAACTCCATGTTAACATTTTGAAAAACTGCCAGAGATTTTTCCAAAGCAGCTTCACCATTTTGCAATCACACCAGCAATGCATGGGGGTTCCAGTTTCTCCAAAACCCCACCAGCCCATGTCATTGCCTGCCTTTGGACAATGAAGCATCCTCGAGGGCAAGTGACATTTTGTCATGGTTTCTACTTGATTTCCCCAGTAACTAATAAAGCTGTGTATGTCTTCATGTGTTTATTGGCTATTTCTATGCCTTCTTGGGAGAAATGTCTATTGACATCTTTTCTCCCTTTCTCAATTGCATTATTTATCATTTTAGTGTTGAATGGGAAGAGTTCTTTATAGAGGCTGGATACAAGTCAAGCTTTTCAAAATTTCTTGAAACAATTGAAGTAATAATGAGCTATTTATACCCATCCAATGGACAAAATTTAAAACACATGAGAAGCAAGTGAGAAACTGGTCCTAATTCCTGTTGGGCATGTAAATTGTTTCATGTACATTTCAGGGCAATTTAGTGATATCTGGTAAAAGCTACATGTCAATGGACCATGGGCCCAGCCATTCTCCATGTTCCTATATATAATAGGGGACCTTTCTATATGTCTGAGGAGATCAGTTCAGATGCATTCTTTGTAGCATTGTTAGCAATAACCCGAAATTGGAAGCCATCCAGAGGCCTGTCAATAGTAGAATGCACACATAAATTGTGGGAAAGCCACACAACGGAATACTACATAGAAGGGAAATGAACAAACTCCATTTACACCCATCAGCATGGATAAAATGTAGAAGGTGTAATAAATAGTCAGTGAAAAAAAGAAGTTGTAGAATCATCCTTTAGCAGAAGCTGGCCCATTGCACATGAATCCCATTTCCCTTTCCTGACAAGCTGCATTTCTCAGCATCCTTGGCATAAATAAAGCCATGTTTCTGAGTTATAGCCAAAGAGATGTGGTTGGAAGTGATGCATGCAGCTTTTGGGCCTGGCTCCAAGACACCTATCGAACCCTCCTCTCTCTTTGCCTTGGATGTTGACTTTCAGGGGGGCCTTGCATCTGTGGCAGCCACAACCCTTGAATGACTGTAAGCAGTAGAGTCCTTCCTTCCCACCTCCAGCCCAGCTACCTCCTTACTGACCATCTGTGGACTATCTGTGAGATACCTTTCTATCACAGGAAGTCACAAGATTCCCAGGTTCACTTGTTACAGAGGCTGTCAATACCGGGAATGTAACAGTTAGAAAACAGGAGAAAGGCAGTACATTATTTATGTCATAAAACCATGGTCAGGAAGAAGCCTCTCAATTTGAAGGTACTATTTAGCCCTAAAGACTGACATCTTAGTGTGAACTTGGACAATTATCTAACTCAGGAGCCTACATGATTTTTCTGTAAAGGATCAACCAGAAAGTAGTATTTTAGGCTTTGTGGGCCATATGAACCTTTGTGGCAAGTACTCAGCTCTGCCAGTGTAGCATGAAAGCCGCCATAGGTAAGCAAATGGGTGTGGCCTGATCTGCCTGCAGGCTGCGGTTTGCCCACCTCTGATTTAACCTCTGGAGTCCTCAGTTTCTTCATCTGTAAAATGGGCATGATAATAATAGTAACTACCCAAAGTGGTTGTTCAAAGGCTGAGTTAATGCATAGGAACTGTTTGGTATAGTACCTGCTATATAATATTCCATAAATATAATAATAACTATTATTGTTCCTTGTTATTATTTTTAATTTTTAATAATTTTAATAATAATATTTATTATTTTTATTATTAATCTTTATTACTTTCACTGATGCTGCTACCACATCTATGGAAGTAAGAGAGTGCGTATAATATGTAAAGAGCACCAACAGCAAACTAAGAATATTGTGTCCCACAATTTCACCCACAGCAATCCTCAGGGAAAAGTATCATTATTATTTTACTTTCACGGATGAGAAAACTGACTTGTAGAGTAACTCATTAACTGGTAAGAAATAGAACTATGAACACAGGTCATTTCGGCATCTCTTCCAACTAATCTGTGTGTCCAGAAGATTCCACATGAGCATAATTTGAGTTGAGGATTTTGTTCATGCCTTTCATTTACTAATTCAGAATATGTGGTGTCATAAACACTTTTCTGGGTTTTGCGAGTTTACTTTCAAATGAAACCATTGATAATATTGCAAAGGGAATCTAGAGCAGTAGCAAGAGAAAAGATTGACCATAAAAGTGACTTGTTGGTGTAAGAATAAAATATTGTTTACCTATTGTGGTTGCCTCAGCTGTGCAACAAAAATCATAGAATAAGAGAGGTTCCTTAACGTGCAGCTGGGAGCATACGTCAGATGGTTGTCAGAGAAGAGAGAGTGGGACCTAAATTCTAGATGTGCCCCACGTGAGAGATCACTAAACATTCGGTGTGTTGAGCTCAACAATTTCTCCTGTTAATTTTTAAGCTCAGGGGTATTTCAAAGATAAATGAAACACAGCTTCTAACTTGTTTATGTGCATGTCATAAAAATGTTATTTTATATAAAAATCTTTTGGCTTTTAGAAGTATATCGAGCATATGCTATCAAAATAGGAAACTGCAGGGTGTGATGCAGATAAAAGATGTAATAATCTTTTATCACAGACATTTTTTCAGTTTATGTGACTTATCTTTTATTCTAACATAGTGTCCTCTCTCTCTCTACGTATATATTTTCTGGTGTTAAAATATTCTTTTAACATAGTTGACGTTACTTACTTTTTCTTCATTTGTCATTGCATTATTTGGGGCTTTTAATTTTGTTTCTTGAGCAACATTTTTTATGGTTCAGTCTGTCCTTTTTCTAACTTCTCACACTGACTACATAGCTCATTAAATTTAAGGCTTGCTCTTTTGTTCCCTAATGATTGTGATACATATTCCTACTGAAGTCGATATATTTCCTTCAAAATACTGCTCCATTTTGGGGATGTAGTGGTTGTATTTTCATGCATTTTTTAAATTTAATTTAATTTTTTAATTTAAATTCAATTAGCCAAGGTATAGCACATCAGTAGTTTTTGATATAATGTTCAGTGATTCATTAGGTCAGTATAACACCTAGTTCATGCGTTTCTAACCATCATCCACTTTGACCGGTTCTATAAGCCAGGTTTATTTAGAAGTGTGTTTTTAAATTTCCAAATGTTTAAAACATATGTTTTAAATTGATTCCAATAATTATTTTCTATTTTTAAAAATATTGTGCCAAAAAACGTGGTCTCATTATAAAAGTTCTTTGGTGTTTTAAAGATTTGCTTTGTGACTTATTACAAGGTCAACTTTTGCATGTTCATGGATGCATAAAAGCGTTATGTTCTCTCATTATGATAGGGTTTCCATGGATGCTAACTACATCAAGTTATTAGTTCTCTCACTTAAAATGCTTTTTATACCTAATTATTTCTTTTGTTTCATCTGTTTTTCTGAGATGGATGTGTTAAAATTTTCAGTTCTTCTTGCTGATGTTTCAGTTTTAACCTGATAATTTCTTCATCTTGACTGTTTTTATTTTCAGGCTAGGTAGTCTGATAACACAAAATTTCAGAATCCTTACATACTTTTTCTTGAATTATTCTTCTTTCATGATGTGGTGACCCTCTTGATTTCTGATAATATTTTTTGTCTTATTTTGTTTTTTGCCTTAAGGCCTATTTTGTCTGCCATGAATAACTACATTAGTTTTCTTCCATCTTTTTTATATCTTTACTTTTTTTTAGTTTAAACAGCAGAGTTGGATATTTAAATCAAAATTGAAAATCCCTATCTTCTAATTGATAAACTCAGCCCATTTTGGTCAATTAAAAAATTAATTTTTACCATGTCCATTTAAGTTTTAGACATATGATGATTATTTTGCTTCTTCTCTTGTCCTGTTACCCTTTCTTTGAGAAATTAAGTTTTTTTTGTTTTATTTTTTCTAAAATTCCCACTTGTCTCCTCTTGTAAGTTATATATTGTACTTCTGGTCTTTCACTGGTAACACTTAAATATTTAGTATGCATACTTAACTGGGTCCTAATGTTAATGATTGTCTCAGACATTCTCATGAACTGTAGAAACACAGGGGCTTGATTTAAGTCCGGATCACTCCCTCCCACCTTCCATGCTGGGCTCATCTCCTGATTTAGCTGGGCCTCATCATTATGCTATATATTGATTTATTTTTTTTAATTTTTTATTGTTATGTTAATCACCATACATTACATCATTAGTTTTTGATGTAGTGTTCCATGATTCATTGTTTGTGCATAACACCCAGTGCTCCACGCAGAACGTGCCCTCTTTAATACCCATCACCAGGCTAACCCATCCCCCCAACCCCCTCCCCTCTAGAACCCTCAGTTTGTTTCTCAGAGTCCATCGTCTCTCATAGTTCGACTCCCCCTCCGACTTACTCCCCTTCATTCTTCCCCTCCTGCTATCTTCTTCTTCTTTTTTTTCTTAATACATATTGCATTATTTGTTTCAGAAGTACAGATCTGTGATTCAACAGTCTTGCACAATTCACAGCGCTCACCATAGCACATACCCTACCCAGTGTCTATCACCCCAGCCACCCCATCCCTCCCACCCCCCACCACTCCAGCAACCCTCAGTTTCTTTCCTGAGATTAAGAATTCCTCATATCAGTGAGGTCATATGATATATGTCTTTCTCTGACTGACTTATTTCACTTAGCATAACACCCTCCAGTTTCATCCACGTCATTGCAAATGGTAAGATCTCATTCCTTTTGATGGCTGCATAATATTCCATTGTGTATATATACCACAGCTTCTTTATCCATTCATCTGTCGATGGACATCTTGGCTCTTTCCACAGTTTGGCTATTGTGGAAATTGCTGCTATAAACATTGGGGTGCACGTACCCCTTTGGATCCCTACATTTGTATCTTTGTGGTAAATACCCAGTAGTACAATTGCTGGGTTGTATGGTAGCTCTATTTTCAACTGTTTCAGGAACCTCCATACTGTTTTCCAGAGGGGTTGCACCAGCTTGCATTCCCACCAACAGTGTAGGAGGGTTCCCCTTTCTCCGCATCCCTGCCAACATCTGTCGTTTCCTGACTTGTTAATTTTAGCCATTCTGATGGGTGTGAGGTGGTATCTCATTGAGGTTGTCATTTGGATTTCCCTGATGCCGAGCGATGTTGAGCAATTTTTCATGTGTCTGTTGGCCATTTGGAGGTCTTCTTTGGAAAAATGTCTGTTCATGTCTTCTGCCCATTTCTTGATTGGATTATTTGTTCTTTGGGTGTCGAGTTTGATAAGTTCTTTAGAGAATTTGGATACTAGCCCTTTATCTGATATGTCATTTGCAAATATTTTCTCCCATTCTGTCGGTTGTCTTTTGGTTTTGTGGACTGTTTCTTTTGCTGTGCAAAAGCTTTTTATCTTGATGAAATCCCAAGAGTTCATTTTTGCCCTTGCTTCCCTTGCCTTTGGCGATGTTTCTAGAAAGAAGTTGCCTCGGCTGAGGTCGAAGCGGTTGCTGCCTGTGTTCTCCTTTAGGATGTTGATGGACTCCTGTCTCACGTTTAGGTCTTTCAACCATCTGGAGTCTATTTTTGTATGTGGTGTAAGGAAATGGTCCAGTTTCATTCTTCTGCATGTGGCTGTCCAATTTTCCCAACACCATTTGTTGAAGAGACTGTCTTTTTGCCATTGGACATTCTTTCCTGCTTTGTCAAAAATGAGTTGACCATAGAGTTGAGGGTCCATTTCTGGGCTCTCTATTCTATTCCACTGATCTATGTGTCTGTTTTTGTGCCAGTACCATACTGTCTTGATGATGACAACTTTGTAATAGAGCTGGAAGTCTGGAATTGTGATGCCGCCAGCTTTGCTTTTCTTTTTCAAGATTCCTCTGGCTATTCGGGGTCTCTTCTGGTTCCATACAAATTTTAAGATTATTTGTTCCATTTCTTTGAAAAAAGTGGATGGTATTTTGATGGGGATTGCATTGAATGTGTAGATGGCTCTAGGTAGCATTGACATCTTCACAATGTTGGTTCTTCCAATCCATGAGCATGGAACGTTTTTCCATTTCTTTGTGTCTTCCTCAATTTCTTTCATGAGTATTTTATAGTTTTCTGAGTACAGATCTTTTGCCTCTTTGGTTAAA